TCGCACGATGGCCATGAACGGGTTACCCCCAGGAGGCCCGTCGCGCGGCAAGAAGGCAAAGTCAGCGGACGAGTCGCGCGCGTACTATAGGGATTTCGCGTCAAGTTAAATAGAGTGTCCCACTGCACGTCCTACATCGCACACCACGCGCTGCAACTCGTCCGCCGACTCTGCTTCTTGCCGCGCGACGGGCCTCCTGGGTGGTACCCGGGCATGAGCACCACCAACTTCCCTACGAACCTTCTTATACCTGTCGTATTCGCTGCCTCTGAAGGGACTGTTAAACACTCCTGTCGATACTGTTCGCCACCCCAGTATAACCTCGACATGTCCGTACTAGCGCATATACTATCACTATTCAAACCAAAGGGCTTGCAGTTGAGATCACTATTTCACCTATCAATATCACTAACGTCTTTTCGAAAGGTAACCTGAAAAAAGAACTTACGATATCACAGTGAATGTTTACAAGCCTTGAAGCATTTCTCTGTAGAGTTCATTGAACGTGATCATCGAATGGTAGCTGGCGGTTACTTCACGGATGTACGGAGGACGAAAATCCGACAAAAGACTGGAGTTGGCTTCTTTGAAGACTACTTTTTGAGAAGGTACCCTTTCAAAGTTTCTCCATAAAGTGTCTCTTGTACAACATATTTAGTGAGATAGAGGACTATCGACGACTGCGAGTTGCTGGTCAATCTGTTGATTGGAATTCTCTATTCTGCTCATGTCTTTACTATTTTGGCTGGAAGAAGCTTAACTTTGCCGATTTTCACAACACCTATAGAATAATTTTCAAATGGTTTATGATAATATCGACTGCGTGCGCCTTCGCACTTAGTCCGGTAAGACTTTTAGAAACGCTTGCAATTAATATGGATGACTTGAGAGCACAAGCGAGGTATAGATCTGAATCTAATCTTCGCTGGTGCTCGCGGTGACCCATCTTGATAAACACGCGTGGAAGAGCTATACATATTTTGGAAACAGCAAAGCAGACTGGAAAAAAGCAAATTTGCGCTGGTGTAGGGCCTGCCTTGCGCTTCAAACCCAGCCATCCATTAACACTGAATCTGACAGCGAATTTTTGACACGTTGACAATACGTGCACAACGGTTCCGGCACGAAGGCGTGGAACATTATAATCTACAAGCTGGAAACAACTTATCCACGCAAAGTGCGGTTCGCCTCGTTAAAACCGCAGCAAGGTGATTAATGGTCGAGAAGTTCCTCGACATGGCTCTATATTGTGCGAGAGTAGTGCTGGGAGTGAACGTGTGCGCGGAGACACAGACGGCTTGCGCATGGCGAGTGTGAATGTCGGGGCGGGAGAGAACTGATCCATCGACAAACCATTGAGAACATCCTCGACCGAATATTCACCCTGATCCGTAGGAACGCCTAAGCACTGCGAGATATGGAATGTATGCCCACTTTGGGACACGATCCTTACGTGTCCCAATGTACGCAGTGACCTTACGAAAGACCTGATGTCTAGGTGAGCAACCTCATTAATGTTTGAAACGAGGTGTCAGCAGCAGTGGCTCGACCTTTCACCGATCTTGCTGCAGCTGTGACGTCACTAGCACGCGCACGCGTCCGCGCTGTCCAGTGGTTTTTTCTCGTCCCCGCGCGATCCGAACTTGAGATAACAGGAAATAGGGAAAGTCTTGAAGGGGAGGAATCGAACTCCATTTCTCCAAGCGAGTTCTGCGCGACACCGACAAGGGAAGACAATCGAATGGCGCGAACAGTATAAAGATAAAGTTTAAGATTGGTAGCCACACTGCACAGACCACCACTGCGTACATTCTCAGTTACCATTTTCCCGAAATCGGGCTTAAGCCCTCCATTGAAGCGCCACGGCCTGCCCGCGTAGTGTGCGAATAGCCTGGTGCTCTTCCTTCCCGATTTCTACCAACTAGCCGCTTTAGATGTTTCGCTGTGCAATGTTATGTGTTCTTCTCGGAGCGATGGGAAAAAATGGCCAAGGTACGTAGCAATCTATTTTAGGTCATTGTTCCGGTTTGATCTTTCTCTTTACCTGTTTTATTCCGATTTCATCTTGAATACTTACAGCTCCATTATCTTTGCTGATTCTCGACACAACTTGAACGAAGGGCCGATCACTAACATTGTCAGCAATTACCAGGTGGGCTTTTATTGGACACCAGATTGGTCCCCGTCAACTGCCGGGACATTGCTTACCTGCGTAGGCTTCACGTCACCCATGTGATCTTTTCCATCTGGACATCCTAACACTCGTGAGGTGACGCGTAAATGTAGGGAATTTTATATACTGAGTGGCACGCCGAAGTCATCATGGATGGTAATGAATGGCATATCAAGCACCTAAACTTACTTCAAGACCATTAATGTGTATGTTTGTGAATCTATTACCATTTTTTCGTTACATTGTTGTGAATTGTAGTAGCTGTTGTTTCTTATGTTGCCTTACGTAATGATAAACAATAAACAATAAAACAATAAACAATTCGCAGCTAAGGATATATTCCTGCGAGCTAGCATGTCCTTATCCGCGGCCCCTTTGCGCACTATTGGCCCGATACGCTTTGTCTCGTGTCTGAGCCTCTAGCCGTTCAGCAGAGAGAGCGTTAGCGTTGAAGAGGGCAGCACCGATGAGAGTCGCATCAATGCGCAAATCAACGGGCAAGGAACGAAATTTTTCCGACTTTTTTCTTTTTTCGTGCATCCCTGACCATCTCTAACTGAATTTGTAATGTGCTGCCTTTCCATCGTAAAATCGCCTTTGAAGTTCACCAATTCAGACAAGGAACATCGTTTCTATACTGAAGAAAGAAGCTGGTGAGAGGAGGAGAAGCTTTTCTGGTGCATAAAATTTATAGAACATCTCTATGACTTGATCTGTAAGGCAACGTTTGACGTATGGGTAGATGACGGCACTGGGAGACTTTCATTACATCTTCGAAGGAATCCGCTCCGAAATGACCTCATTCCCTCGCATGGCATTCGCTACGGTCGACCTGAAAAATATTCTTTTGATTTGTGGCATAATTTGAAGTCAGTTCCCTTACCAGTTGCTTGCTGATATCAGATACAGTATGTTCGGAGGGTAGAAGCCGTTGAAATGTGTCGATAGGCACGTCGAATAGGCACCACATTGAGGATAAAGAATCCAGTCTCCTTCATGTACGGTAGAAATACGCCTATCACTCTGTAACACTGGTACGTGCTGCAGTAGGTGGCGCACAAACGATATCAACGGTTTTACATTTTTCTTTATCAAAATGAACCAGTCAAAACAACCATTTTTATTTCGAACGCGATAGTCTTCACCTATACAGTCGCGGAATGTGCCTTCCGAGTTAAGGAAAGGATAAGCTGTAGGAAACCTTCTTCCGTTCACATTTTTTCCCTTTTTTTTAATTTCTCGAGCGGGACAAGTGTTCATTCTCTGACAAGGGGGGTCTTTCAGGGCAAGCCGCGCTTTTTGGAAACGGTTTCTTGCATATTGTAGGGACGCATGTATGGACCACAAAACCATGTTTCGTTTTCGCTGAACGGTTTTAGTAGTATCAAAAAAGTGGTGAATAATACTCTCGATGGTTCGATCCCCGCGGTGACTAAATTTTGCAATGGCACTATTTACCCTTTACTGCCCCACTCCTCAAGAACTGAGCCGGATTTTGATCGAAATTCGTCCATGACTGTGGATTTTGCTAGAAACTTGCCTTCAGGGGTAATTTGACCCGTAGATCACGAATATAATACCGGTTTAGAGCGAAAACGCTTGGCGCCGGCGCTATCACAACAGTTTTGCGCGGGCGCTCGTAGCGCAGGCTACAGGTTCACTCGTAACAAACTGATGTGATAATCATATTCTACGGGTCAAAATACCTCTGAGGACAACTTTCCAGCGAATTTGGGGATCTCGAGGAGTGGGGCTTACCACCCAGGCGCCTCCCATATCTCGACCAGATAACTCGTCCGGATCATCGAATTATTAGACTGTCGTGGTTCATCGATCTACAGTGGAGCGTGCCAGAGTAGACTGGACTGCAGAGCCTCCAGAAGTTCACCATTCTGATTCTTCTTCCGGCTTTAATCTTGCGCTTAGTTCGCTCTGACCCTTCAACTATTGAAATGAGT